CCCCCCCCGAAACCTGGACAGGTCTCTCTGAGGTTTGAGGAGGGTGAAGATATTCACGGGCAGGTTGACCAGTCAACACTCAGTAAACACTCACTGGGGGATGTGCCAAGCAGAGGGAAGGGCAAGATCAAAGTGGGGCACCGGGGGCCAGTTGGCTGACGTGACTCCGCCCCTAGGCCCTGAGTCCCCGTACACGCACTGGAAGCAGACGGTGTTCTACATGGAGGACTACCTGACGGTGAAGACGGGCGAGGAGATCTTTGGTACCATTGGGATGAGGCCCAATGCCAAGAACAATGTGAGGCTCGGGGGAGCTGGCGGAGGGGGGACTATGGAGGCACTTCTGCCTGTCTGGGGCTCTTGGTGTCTGTTTGTGGGACAAATGTTGAGCACCTACAGGAGGTGGAGTCCTGGGGACCAGCCATGATTAGGCCGGATCCCTGCCCTCCTGATGCTCCCAGTCTAGACATGGGACACAGTCAAGTGGTAAACAACAGCTGGAGGTTCTGTCATTTGGGAAGGGGCCAGAGGGAGAGCCCAGTCTCCAAGCCTGGGCCTGGGGATAAGGGGAAGGAAAGGAAGACAGTTCATTCCTCCTGCACACCTGGCAGGACCCAGCTGCCATCAGCTGAGACGTGGGGGAAGCATGTCTGGGGCAAAGTCAGGAGCTCAGCCAGGGGGTGGGAGGAAGGGTCTGGATTCTGAGTGGAGGGGAGTGGTCTGCACGAGAAATATCACCAGGCCAGTGTGTGTCCGGCTGGATGGTGCCCAGGTAGCCTGGATGGAGGGGAGCGACCCAAGCTGCACCCACTTTCTAAGTCAGGGACATAAGCCCATTAAAGCAGGGACTCGCAAATGGACAGTTTTGCTGTACCCCAGAGGAGAAAGGGTGCTAGTGGCCTCCAGTGGGTAAAGGCTTAGGGTGCTCAAGACAGCAAAGTGGCCTCAAATGTCAGTAGTGTGGAGGCTGAGAAATCCAAACGAGACAGACAGCCTGAGGGGGAGAAGAGGGCAAGGAGGCTGGGTCAGAGGGCCAAGGGGAGAAGTCATTGAGGTCATTGATGACTGTCCCAGCCTTTCCAGGGAGTGCTGGGGGAGGTGCAGAATGGGGCACAGGAGGAGGGTTGGCTTCCAGGGAGCTTGGGAGGAGAGGAAATGGGGACAGTGGATTGGGACCACTGAGTTTGCTGTCACATTTTTCCGGAGGAGGAGGAATGCTTTTGCTGATGGCAGTGGTTCTGGTGGGGAAGTAGTCAGGGAAACAAGAGGCAGGGCAGCGGAGCTCTGCCCCCCGCCCCCCCAGGGACCCGGTGGGTTTGAGGATGTCAGATGTAGCTGTCACTGGGAGTCAGGGTTCAGGGCAGATGCTGGGAGCGGGACCAGCAATGTGGCATCTACATCCTGGACATGGGCTAAAAGCAGGACCCCGCTGGATCTCCAGGGAGGGTGTGTAGACAGCTGGTTGGGGACACATCATCTCAGGTGTGCTGGGCCTGCACCCCTCTGCTTCCTCCTGATTCAGACAGTTCTGGGTGCCTGCCTTCCCTCTTTCTGGCCCCCCTCATGTCTGCCCTATCCCCACAGCGCGACCTGGACTTCACCATTGACCTGGACTTCAAGGGCCAGCTGTGTGAGCTGTCCTGTTCCACCGACTACCGGATGCGCTGAGACGGCGCCCGGTTTCTCCCACCCTAGCCGGCCGGCCTTGCTCGGGCCCAGGGGCTGTGGCATTCTTAGGCAGTTTTGGGCTCCCCCTCCCTCTCCCTTCCTCAGAAGGGGGTTTTAGGGGCCTGGGCCTGGGCCCGGGGTGGGGGATTGGGGGGAGGGCACATCGTGACTGTGTTTTTCATAACTTATGTTTTTATATGGTTACAATTATGCCAATAAATCCTCAGCTGGGACAGCTTGGATTCTGGGGGCAGAGTGGGGTTGGGGTTCCGTCTGCAGGTGCTAAGTTGCCAGCTGGAGCAGCCAGAAGTACCCACATGATGCTATGGGTCTCTGTCCTCACTGTGTCTATGTCTGTCTCACCACAGCCCTGAGTCTTACCCCAACTCACCCCTTAGCTCTCTGCCAGGATCTCTTCATCGCAGCCCTTTCTGGGAGGATTGAGTCTCTGTCCCGCCCCTCTTGCCCCCTGAGGTCCTGTTACCTCTTGTCCCCACTGGGCATAGTTCTGCCCCCAGCTGCACTGCCAGGCTTGGGGGGGG